GTCAATGTCCAGTATGCCAGAGGTAAATGGTGGGATAAAAAGCTGAATATTAATGGTGGGCTTTGCAGTTAATAGGGTCATTAATAAAAAATAATCCCCTGTGATAGAAACCATGGGATTTATTTGCTTTTTTTCTTTACTCATTCACACGATGAGGGCATTGCTGGCCAGGCAGCATTTATTGTCCATCCCTAATTGCTCAGAGGGCACTTCAAAGTCAACCACATATTACTATGGGTCTGGAGTCACATGTAGACCAGACCAGGTAAGGATGGCAGTTTCCTTCCCTAAATGACATTAGTGAACCAGATGGGTTTTTTTCCTGACAATCAACAATGGATTCACGGTCAGCATTAGATTCTTCATTCCAGATATGTTTTGAATTCAAATTCCATCATCTCCCATGGTGGGATTCGAACCTCGGAACATTACCTGGGTCTCTGGATTAACAGTCCAGCAATAATACCACTAGGCCATTGCCTCCCCAATATAATATTCAATATATGATGTTTAATGATTCTTGATGATTTGGGTCTGGTTTTTGAGTTAGTAACTGGTGAATTCTTCTGTGTGACTTGAGTACGTCTGTAACCATGGTGGTTTTCTTTTTTGAAAACAGTTTTTGATGCCTGGCTGTAGAGTGGTGTTTTTGGGCTTTCACTTCTTTCAGATTGTTTGTGACTCAGTTTGGTGAATATTGGGCCTCAAAGGTTTGTTAGTTTTGGAATCTGATTTATTAAATCCTAAAGGAAACCCTCTTAACTGAGGGACTTTCAATTTTAACGTTGAGTAACGTTTTAATTTGGAGAAGATCTTAGAACAGGATGGTTGTTTCAAACAGTGATTTGGAGAAGGGAGATACAGATTTAGTGAATTAGATTACCTTGGAATGAAAAAGTTAGTGTTAGTCCCAGATCAGAAGTGTTAGGTTTAAAAACCTGGAAATGGTTATTTAGCTGAAAAAATTCATCTTTGTTAAACTGAGTGTGCTGGCTCCAAGAAGAAGCTATCACAGTTCTGGTCTAGAAGTTGAATTCAATTGACTTAACCCTACAGAGGTATTAGATAGCAATACTGGTGACTATTATATGAATTGTGCTTTGGGTACTGCACCACAAATGTTTTGGATGTAATATAAAATCTACTTTATTTCCTTTTTCAGTGTGTAAAACAAGAGAGTTGTGGGATTAATGGGATTATACTTTATATTGTGTTTAAATCTTTTAAATTTATGCTGTGTAAAAGATAAAGTTGCCATAGTCTTATCATACAGTTGGGCTGCTCTCCCGTTCGGGAGTGACAACTGGTGGTGAGGGGAGAGGTTGAAATGGAGAGTTCCTCCATGGTAAACTCAGCTGGTGTGGGAATGGAACTCTCATCACAAACCAGCTGTCCAAACCACTGAGCAAAATCAACCCCCATTTCTTGTGAATAGATTGTTTGTTTGGATTTTCCTATTTGTCATTTCTTTTGTAGTAAACTTCCATTTTATTGTTAAAGGAAAATCTGAAGCATTTCATGCTTCTGTTTCAGGAATAGACCATTTTGGTTCAACCAAAGCAACTAATTTTGTGATCTATCAAGGCAGGATCCTGTCTGGGATCTGTTTTACCTGATAATATCAGCTGGGATCATAAAACTCCCTTAAAATTCAACTCCTCACTACCTAGCAAAAATCGCCTGGACATTTGGAACTTAGTTGGGAGTATCTTGTTGCATTTTTAACTTTGAGAAAGGCTTTGCAGGACCTCTTGTACAATTCTACACAATTTCTTGCTGCAGACCATATTGTTCAGGTCCCTATGGTAGCTAGCTCGCAGTGTTTATCCAATTAGTTTAAATGATGTGCCGAATTCAGTTGGGTTGGACTAGTGTGCTGTTGCATTAGTTAAATGTGCGTGCCAAGTGAGGAATCAATGACTTGATGTGGTGCCTGTAGAGCGTGACTGGGTCAGCATAGAGTGCAAAGTGCTAAATCAGTTTGTGCCCATGGAAGTCCTAAATGTTAATGACAAATCTTTTGTTGTATTTTGTAACCATACTCTGAGCATTTCTTATTTCGGGCATCTTTGTTTTACTCATTAAGTCCAGTTCCAGAAGTGGTGACCACAAAGGTAGCAATTGTTGATTATTTTTTAAAAATAAAAACCTGGTTCACTAAAGTGAGATGGGCAATGAAATGGCAGATGGAATACAATGTGGGAAATTGCAAGGTCATGCACATTGGTATGAAGAATAGAGGCATAGACTAGTTTCTAAATGGGGTATGGCTACAGAAATCTGCAGCACAAAGAGACTTTGAGAATCCTGGTTCAAAATTCTCTGAATGTGAACGTGTTGGCTCAGCTGGCAACTGCAACTGCATTGTTAGCATTCATTTCAAGAGTGCTAAATTCAGGGATGTATTTCTGAGGCTGTATAAGGCTCTGGTCAGACCACATTTGGAATATTGAGTAGTTTTGTGCCCCATATCTAAGGAAGGATGTGCTAGCATTGGAAGAGGCCCAGAAGAGGTTCACAGGAATGATCCTGGGAATGAAGGGCTTGTCAAATAAGGAGCAGTGGAGAACTCTGGGTCTGTACTCAGTGGTGTTTATAAAGATGAGAGGGGATCTCACTGAAACTTAGAATAGTGAGAACCCTGGATAAAGTGGATGTGGAGAAGATCCTTCTCCTAGAAGGAGAAACACTGACCTTGGGTCCTAGACTCAGATTGAAGCGATGGCCCTTTAGAACTGAAATGAGGAGGAATTTCTTCAGCCAGAGGATGGTGAATCTGTAGAACTCACTGCCACAGAAGGCTGTGGAGACAAGCCATTGAGTGTATTTAAGACAGAGACAGACAAGTTCTTGGTTTAGTAAGGAGATCATTGGTTATGGGGGGAATGGGGTTGAGAAACATTTCAGCCACGATTGAATGGTTGAGCAGACTCAATGGGCTGAGTGGCCTAATTCTGCTCCTTATCTTATGGTCCTAAAGTAATTTTTAGGGAAAGAAACCTGTTGTCCTCAGCTGGCTTGGCCTTCGGCTGGCAGTATGGTTGACTCTCTTAACTGTCCCCTGAAATGGCCTGGCAAACCATCAAATTCAAGGGCACCTGGGGATGGGAAACAAATTCTGATTTAGCCAGCAATGGTGACATCCTGTGAAAGGGATTCCAAGAGATCAGCAGGAGATTGAGGGTTGAGTCTTTGGAACTCCTTGCCACAGAGGTGGAGGAGCAGACTCCTTGTGTATATTTAAGGCTGAGATAGATAGGTTTTTGATCAGTAGGAGATAGAGGATGATGGAGAAAGGGCAGGGCAGTGGACATGAGGAACCTCAGATCAATCATTATCCTATTGAATAGTGCAGCAGGTTTGAGAGGCCCAACAGTCTACTTCTGTTCTTATTGTCTTATGAAATTTTCCTCATTTCCCCAATATGAAACAGACAATCTTTTTGTGATTTAAGAGGAGAGCAAGGTCACTTGACAGCATGGCAGTTTGAAATTAATGTTTGATTTTTCCATTGTCTTACCAGTAATTACTTCTAATTGTCTTTGAAAGCTAAATTTTAACTTGTGAATGAGGCATTATTTTAGTACAAAGACAGCTACTTTTAGAGGAGACTTAATGGAGACTTTGCTCCAATCATTTTGCAAGTGCGCCCCAAATTGGGGGTCATGTATTATTTTGATCCTCTGCCCTGCTCCAGTGCTGATCTGTCTGACTTCCGGGTCCTACAGTGCTTCGCTGAACCTCGATGAGAACTCTAAATGGCATTCCATTAAGAAATGCCTCCGGAATTGCTTAAGTTCTATTACATCTCCAAACGTTTTCCATTTCTGACAAAAGGTTAAATGTTAACAGTTTCCACCTCCACAGATGTACCCTGACCTGACTCTTTTGCATATTGATTAGTTTTAATTGTTCTTATGCACCTGCAGTGTTTTGTACCTTACTTTTAGTTGTGTCTTCAACTCGTCACATTTTGTATTGTCTGTTTCTGCCAATGCAGCAGTTACATTATTCACAAACTGTCTAATTTTTGTTTCATCATCCACTCCTCCTATCTTGATAACCACCTGTACCTCTAATTTTCTTTCCACCTTATTGGGTACTGCAAGGTATTGCTGTAAATCCTAGAGCAATTTTGGAATTTGCCAGTACCTTTTTTTTGACTTTGTTTTGATTCTTGAGCTGGATGTGTTTGCCTAAAATTTCATAAATATTGACATGATAAATTATTTAGCATTGGGCAGTCTTGTGGTTTTAGTGCAACTAGAATTATAGAATGTGGTCCCCAGTATACAAGTTGGGGGAAAAAAAAATCCATGGAATAGGACATTCAGTCTCTAAAGCAATAGCCATGATAATGACCCTTTCAAAGGAAACACTTTTGCCCCATAAGATCAGATTTGTGTCATGTGCAGGTTGTGGGAGATCCTCGTTTTTAGTGCTTGTTGTATCTTATTAACCTCTCACAGAAATGATTCAAACTCCCCTAGATATTTTTCTTCTTGATCCAAAATCTTGTAACTGACTGCCATTGATGGAATCCTGGGATCAAAACTCAGACCCAGCAACTCAAATAATGGGAAAGATTTATTTGGCCATAAGCTTGATTATCTCCTATTTGTTGTGATTAGGCATAATCTTTCCTAAAGGAAAAGAAAATCTGAACTTTTTTGTTTTCCTTGTTCTCATTTTCCAATTTTCTTCTTTCCTGCCTGACTTGATGACAGAAATTGTGACTCTAAACATTAATTTACCTTTAAATTTAAATTCCTGTACCTCCATCTAGAACCAAGGTAAGAGGAGGTGATATTAATCTCAAACTCCAGTCCTGCATTTGAATTGATCTGCATGTCTGATAGTTTTTACTTCCAATTCTACTCAAAATTTTTATTAGGAATAACAATTTCAATCCGTTAAGTATCAGTGTAACTCTGCTGCTTTTGGAGTATTTGAAACTTTGACCTGATATATGCTTTACCTAGATTTGTTTTGATTTGCAGGTTTTCTGTCAAGACTCTAATCGATCGCTCCTGTTTTGAGACCATTGATGACTCATGTTCAGAATTTACAAACTTCGCAGCTATTCTGGAGCAAGTCCTGAGTCACCGTCTCAAAGGTAACCTTGTCTGCTTCATGCATCGATGTGGGGGAAAAAGTATGAATTGCCCACTTGGGTTGCACTGGTTTATTGTGTAGTGGGATCAGGGCTTTTAGTGTAGACATTAATACATCAATAAAATCTTCAAGCTGTTGCAATGGGTGAAAGTTCATGCTGAATAGAAATTGAGTATGAAAAACATTAACTGGCAACCTTGTTGACATTTCATAATGTTTGTAGATTTGAGTGATTTTGAACTTGAATAAAATCCATTACTTTTATAAATTTCACTGCTGAAATATAAGAAGTCAAGTTCTGGGGGAGGGATAACATGTCAAACATTTACACTGACTAATGACATGTACCATCCTCAGCTTATGCAATGTATTTTGGAAGTTAAGCTGCATGTTAAAGTGTAGGATGTTGAAATAATAGGCACTTTTTTAGTGATTTTGATTTAAATGTTGTGCCCTTGCCCACCAACTTCAATATTTCATCTGAAATCTGGAGTGTGACTGCTCATACCTGTGAGGTTACTCATTTTGGCAGGAAGAAGAGAGGAGCTGAATAGATAAGGAGACCTGAATTATGGTTGTGCTATCACAATCCCAAATTCTGGGAGAAATTAAAACACTGAAAGTGGGGAAAAGAATGTCAAAACAGTTACTAAATATAACTTGTTTGTACTTTTCTGGTCAATATAACAAAATGAAAGCAGTTACCTGAATCTGGACTTGGATATTCTCAAGCTAACAGTAGTAACTTGAAGAGATAGTAGAAACTGCAGATGCTGGAGAATCTGAGATAACAAGGTGCAGAGCTGGATGAACACAGCAGGCCAAGCAGCATCATAGGAGCAGGAAGGCTGACGTTTCAGGCCTAGACCCTTCTTCAGAAAACCTGAAATGTCAGCTTTCCTGCTCTTCCGATGCTGCTTGGCCTGCTGTGTTCATCCAGCTCTACACCTTGCTATCTCAGTAGTAACTTGAATTTGACTTCATTTCTGGCAGTTTTTTTTTGTGTCAATAAGTACGTTGTTTGTTACCTTGTTAGTAAAGCTTGTTTGTGCAGTATCTTTATCTTTGGAGAGCAAAACCCGTGTAGTGGGAGACTAGGTTAATTGCATAGTTCACCTGTAGGATGAAAACATTTCACAATAAGACGTAAGATTAGGAATATGCCATTCGCCCAACAAAACTGCTTCACCAATATAATGAGATCATGACAAATCTCATGATCCTCAAATCCACTTTCCTGCCTATTCCCCATACTCCTTGATTCCTTTTACTGATTTAAAATTTGTAACTCAGTCATGAATATACTATAATGACCATGGCTGTAGAGACCTCTGCAGTAAGAAATTCCCACAGATTGACTACCCACTGAGACAAGAAATTCCTCCTCCCTTCTGTCCTAACTGGGGTGACCCCTTGCTCTGAAATTGTCTCCACATCAAGCCACCTAAGAATATTATGTTGTAATAAGGTTGTGTCTCATTCTTCCAAACTCCAATTCTTGAAATTTTTACTCTATCTTGCCTAAATAAGAAAACCCTGGGAGAAAGCGTTTCCAGAGCATGTATTATTTTTGACCAATGTACTGAAGAACCAACCAGAGAACAGGCTACTCTGGACTGGGTACAGTACATTGAAAAAGACGCAAGTTACAAAGGGAAGCGTGACTATAATATGATAGAATTCTATCATTTAGGATTGAAACTGAAGGAGTTGAATCCAACAATATTGTCCTGAATCTAAACCAAGGGAACGGAGTGTATGCGACCTAAATTAGCAAGGATGGATTACTAAATGGGTTACAACAAATATCCACTCCTGTCTAGCACAAAAATAAGAGGAAAAGTGGCTCAACCATGGCATATAAAATAGGAATATATTAGATGCATAAAATTGCTAGTAAATGCAGGAGACTCAGTCATATAGCATGGAAACCGACCCTTCGTTCCAACTATTCCACATTGTCCGTGTCCCTAAACTAAACTAGTGCCACGTGCCTGCATTTGGTCCACATCCCTTCAAACCTTTCCTATTCATGTACTTATCCAAATGTGTTTTAAACGTTGTAATTGTACCTGCATCCACCACTTCCTCTGGAAGTTCATTCCACTTACTAACCACTCTTTTTTTTTTTTAAAAAAAAAAAAGCCCCTTATGTCCCTTTTTTTTTAAATCTTTCTCCTCACCTTAAAAATATGCCACTTAATTTTGAACACCCCCACCTTGGGGAAAATACCTTTGCTATTCACCTTTATCTATGTCCTTCATAATTTGTAAATGTGAGGTCACCCCTCAACCACCTATGCTCCAATAGAAAAAAACGTCCCAGCCTACTTCTATAACTCTTCATCCTGGCAAATCTTTTCTGAACCCCCTCCAAGTTAATAATATCATTCCTAAAGCAGAGTGGCCAGAATTGCACATAGTACTGCAGAAGAGGCCTCACCAATGTCTTGTACAACCTCAACATAACATCCCAACTTCAATACTCAATGGTCTGAGCAATGAAGGCGAGCGTGCTAAATGCCTTCTTAACCACCCTGTCTACCTGTAGTGCAAATTTCATAGAATTCGGTACCTGAACCCCTAAGTGTCTTTGTTCTATAATACTATCCAGGGCCCTACTATTGTATAAGTCTCACCCTTATTTGTTTTACCAAAATGCAATAACTCAGTTATTTAAATTAAACTCCATCTGCCACTCCTCCACCTATTGATCCAATAGATGAAGATCTCTTTTTGTAATCTTAGATAACCTTAACTGTCTGCTATACCACCAATTTTGGTGTCATCCAGAAACTTACTAATCATTTCCTCCATGTTCCCATACAAATCATTTATATAAATAAACAAAAGTGGAACCACTGATCCCTGTGGAATACTGCTGGTCACGAGCCACCAGTCTGAAAAACAACCCTCCCCCACCACCCTCTGTCTCCTACCATCAACCCAATTGTGTATCCAATTGGCAAGCTGTCCCTGAATCCCTTGTGATCTAACTTTACTAATTAGTTTACTATGCAGAACCTTGTCAAAGGCTTTACAAAAATTCAAATAAACAACATCTGCCGCTCTTCCCTTCTCAATCTTTCTGGATACTTCCTCCAAAATTTGCACGTTCTCCCTGTGTCTGCATGGGTTTCCTCCGGGGACTCCGGTTTCCTCCCACAGTCCAAAGATGTGCAGGTTATGTGGATTGGCCATGCTAAATTCCCCGTAGTGTTCAGAGATGTGTAGCTTTGGTGGATTATAGGGGGATGGGTCTGGTGGGATGCTCGGTGGGTCAGTGTGGACTTGTTGGGCCGAAGGGCCTGTTTCCACACTGTAGGGATTCTATGAAAATCTCAATCAAGTTTGTGAGACCAGATTTCTCTGCACAAAAACCATGCTGACAATCCCTAATCAGTCCTTGCCTCTCCAAATGCTGTAAATCCTGTCTTTCAGAATCCCCTAATTTACCCATTAATGATATCAGGCTCACAGGTCTATAGTTTCCAGGCGTCTCCTTTATAGCCGTTCTTAAAGGCCCGGCAAGCATGAGGACTGAAAGCATTTTAGAATTCAGCAAAAAGGACAATTTTGATCAAGGTGATCAATTTTTCGTGAAGCCCAGATTCAGTAAGTTTTTTTACCTTTATGGGTTTCATCACCTGCTGGAGGTCCAGTTCAGTGGATAGATGTCCTTTTTGGCTCATTCAATAATGATGCTAATATGCCACTACTCTTGGAGATTGAAAAGCGCCCCATGCAGAGTACATTCTGTGCCCTTTTCACCCTCTGTACTACTTCCAATTGATATTCAAGATGAAGGAGTACTGATTCGTTCGGAGGCTTCCTTGCCCATATTTAACCTGATTCTGTTATACTTCATGTGGTTTGGAGACCATCTAAGGGACAGATCAATTCCTGCCCATCTATATACCTCGTGCTTCCCTGTATATGCTGGTTCTGTTCTGATGATAGGATAGGGCATATTTGGGAATGATTGTAGTGTCTGGAACATTAAGATTTGATTTTTGAGTATGATTGTGCTAGCCTGCTGCTTGTCTATGGGGCAACACTCCCAATGTTGGCATAAGCTGCCAAATGTTGCTAAGGAAGACTTTTCCATGCCAATAAGACTGGTGTGCTTAAGTCAATACCAAGTGGTCTGCCTGGCTTTGTTCTTTGTTGACATTTCTGTAGTGGTTTGGTACAATTGAGTGGCTTGTTTGGCCATTGTAAAGGTAGTTTAAGAGTCAACTATGGGACTGGAGTCACATGTAGTCCTGAGCAGGTAAAGGACAAAAGATGTTCTCCCCTTAAAGAAATCCAGATGGAAATTCAGGTGGATTTTCATGACAGATGCTGGTTTCGTTGTAACCTGCAGGATGGTGGCTCAGTGGTCGGCATTGCTGCCTCACAGCACCAGGGTCCCGAGTTCGATTCTACTGTTGGGTGACTATCTTTGTGGAGTTTGCACATTCTCCCTGTGTCTGTATGGGTTTCCTCCAAGTGCTCCAGTTTCCTTTCACAGCTGAAAGAGGTACAGGTCAGGTGGATTGGCCATGCTAAATTATCCATAGGGTCTAGGGATGTGTAGGCTTGGTGCGTTAGCCGTGGGAAATGCAGAGTTACAGGTAATTGGGTGGGGTGCTCTTCGGAGGGTCGGTGTGGACTCGATGGGCCGAATGGCCGCCTTCCGCACCATAAGTATTCTATGTAATCACTACTGAGTCTGGCTGTTCAATTCCAGATTTTTAAAAATTGATTTAATTGAATTTAAATTCTACCAGCTGTGGTGGTGAGATTTGAACATCCATCTAAGCTGTTCTTCTGTGACAACACTTAGCTCAGCACACTATATATAGACTCTTAAAAATTAAATTGAAATAAGGATTTTGCGAATTCAAATATTCAAAAATTCACCTTTTTTTGTTTTGCATTCTCAACAAGAGGGATTTGCTTTGCTCACCAGCAAATTAGAGTCGTAGAGCTGTACAACATGGAAACAGACCCTTTTGG